AAAGCGTTTTAAATTCAGTGATGCTTTTGGTCAAAATAAAGCTTGAAAGGTTTCATTCGACGGCTCATGATTTTTCTCTTAAAATTGGCTGCCTATGTCTGCAGAGCAAGATGAAATGTATAATCACTGATTAATTTGCTTGACCATCAGGAACGGAATTCATTACATCGTCTACTTTGGTCAGTGTTACTGTCTCTAGAATTATAACCGTTTGGCATCAGTCAGTTTTGGATGAAACGTACGAGTTAATTATCAAACTGCCAATATTCGCTATTATGCGCTGGTGTCGGAGATTTGCAAAGGATATTCGGAGTCTGAGGCAAAACTCATTTGTGCACTTGTTCCAACCTTCCCACGGTCTTCTGGCCATCGGTCGAGTAAGGAGTAATCACCTGACCATAGTATATGATGGCGTAGTGGTATAGTGCCTAAGCGGTTGTCTTTGAACTTCGGTGATACCGGCTTTGAATCCGCTCAAGGAACAGTCTTTGTGTTAATCGAGAATTTCCTTGAACAGAGAATTAACTGTAGATGAAAAATGGTTAGTAAGTCAGTAACTTGCATTCCGGGCTGGTCAGGTCAGAACGAAAAGGGTAAGGTCATGTCTGTCAAAGTGAGCGCACCTTATGGTTGCATTTCGCCTTGTAGTCCTGATAACTGACTTTAATCGGCATAATGTGTGGCCTCGATTTCAATCTCGATTTCGATTTTTATAGTGATTTTGACAGCAGATACCCAAACCTTTGCCGCTGTGACCTCAGAGTTATGAACAGCGAAGTCTGCCGAGGTCCATTAGCTGTTTGATTTCCCTCAGGAATCCTTTTACATCTTTTCCCCTTAATTTTTCTTCTCAGTCGGATAAGCAGCTAGACGATGAACGATTTAACACCTGTGTGAAGCTATAACTTTTGAAGATACTGAGGCTTTGTACTCTTCTTCCCTGTCTTCAGTCATTTAAATTGTTTTAAATTAATGTCCACGCCTTGTGTTGATTTTTAATCAGCTATCGGTTGGGTTAAGGCAAATTGCAGGAATAAAGCGCACGCATAAGATAGCATGGTCATATATCTTCCACGCTTAGGCATGATCACACCATAGCCACCATTCGGTCCTCCCTGCTATTTCCAGGTCAACGACGAGTACTCTTTTTTCGGCTGGTTGCACCGACGCACCATGCACTGAATTCCTTGCTCACCGTAATCAGTAGTTAATAAGAAAAAATTCACCCTGCGCCAACCGGCACTGAAACCCGCACTCCAGCGTGCAAAGAGAGTTACGAACCAACTGTCCCCGTATCGACGTTTTTTTCACTCACCAAAGAGTTGTCTCTATTTTTACCGCCACGAATGTCTGGGTGGCGGGTGGATTTAAAATCTGATTCAAAACCGGCCCTAAATTTCAAGGCCTGTTTAAAGGAGTGCAGCCTGCTGAACCTCCAAACGTACATAACAGACGGAGATGAAACGTTTGTTCCGGATGAACCAGAAGGTAGCCGAGTCTAAGTGAGTCCTCAAACTGCTTGATGTACGGAAACTTTTCTACTCCGCACTCAGTCAGTCAGTTTTTGCGTCGCAGTTTGTGCCTCCACATCAAGCACCTGTCTCAGCAGCTCAATTTGCAGCAGGTTCTTAATAGTCTGGTTGCGAATTTGGCACTGCTGGTCTGGGCATTCGGCTGGAAGTCAGCTGCAAACTTTTCGTTCGATATTTCGACATTCCGCGGCACCTGTGATGTTGCCGGTGCCGGTCCTGATGTTACTCTCCTCCGTGGTCGTAAGGGTTAATTTTGCCCAAGAAGACTTTTTAGCCAATGAAAACACCGTGGTGCTGAGAACGGTCTATGGACGAATTGCGGGCATCAAGAAGATTGTTCTTGGTCATGAGCTACATACATTTTTTAACGTGCGATACGGAAGGGCTCCGGTAGGTAATCTTAGATTCAGCTTCCCGCAGGAGCCATATCCATGGGTAGAAGTCATGAACAGTATGCAACCGGATATTTCGTGTTATCAGGTGAAGCATTATCCGCTGCCAGGTATAATATTTAATAATCAGCATACATCTACAATGCATGGAGTGTTTTGTTCGCGTTTTGGCAGTCATAGGAGAATAGAGAAAGATCATTTACTGAAGAACGGTTTGTTCGATGATTTAATAGTGGTAGGCCTTATGTTTATTAACCGTTCTTTTTCC